AGCAACGGCAACCGCAAAATTTGAATGAAGCCGCTGAAGTTCAGTCCGGCTCACCAGGAACTCAAGCTGGCCAAAGCCAGGAGCAGCCTGGCCCTTCGCCACCTCTGGCTGGCAGATCACCGTCCTCAGCGCAAGGGCGGGGGACGGGAGAGCTCGATGCAGCAACAGGACTGCTGTCTCTCATCCCTCGTCACTTTTCTGGTGCAGGCCTTCCTTCAGGTGCAACGGTTGCCACCTCTTTGGAGGTGCGGCAGCTGCGGCGACGGCTGCGTCGAATGGAGCGGCTGCTGCAGCGAGAGAGGCCTCGGGTGCAGCGACAGCTTCAGCGGCTGCAGAAGAAGTTGCAGAGGGAGCGGCAGCGCCGGCAACAGCTCGAGGCCCAGATTCAGCAGGCGCAGGGAAGTGTAGAGATGATGAGCCAGCCGATGCAGCAGCACCTCCTTCTGCAGCACCTGCTTTGGCAACAGCGGCAGCAGCAGCAATATTTGCACCATCAGCAGTGGCAGCATTTGCTACACCAGCAGCAGCAGCAGCAGCAGTTTTTGCTTCAACACCAGCAACAGTATTTGCTTCAACAGCAGGCGCATTTCCACGGGATGCAACAACAGCAGCAACAGCTGTCCTTGCCTGCGGGTGAACAACAACAGCAGCAGGCTTTGCTTCAACGAGACCAGGAGAAAGCGGAGCGCTCAGTACAGCAGCAGGCGCAGCAGGTGACGCCTCCTGAGAGGCCCGCACAGAAACGCAAGCAGGGTAGGCCACAGGAGGCGCATTTGCCGGGGATGCAACAGCAGCAGCAACAGCTGTCCTTGCCTGCGGGTGAACAACAACAGCAGCAGGCTTTGCTTCAACAAGACCAGGAGAAAGGGGAGCGCCCAGAGCAGCAGCAGGCGCAGCAGGTGACGCCTCCTGAAAGGCGCCCACAGAAACGCAAGCAGCATAGGCCGAGGCGGGCAGAGCAAGCGGAGGAGCTACCACCGAAGAGAGGCCTACAGCGGGCGTTGCGGCCTGCCACCCAGACTTCAGGGCAGTCACTAGAAGATGAATGGATTGA